AAGCTCTGAGGCTGTGGAAATGCGTCGCTGACTTCGTTGGTGGCAACTGTGATTGGTTTTATAACCTTTGTGGAAGTAGAAACTATTCGTTTGAATAGTTGATCTCTAAGTTCAGAAAGAGTACCTTGTTTTCCACCAAAAAGTTCCTTCTTTACCATTCGCCCATATTCTATTATGGCTTGATTTTGGTCTGATTTCATAAATACTTTAGCACATTATTTGAGTACATCAGACTTCTTAAACTTCTGTATGATTGCTTTCTTGCCAACATTTGATATTCTTGAAACCGTATCACATCCAGTAAATGCATGGAGAAAGGGCAATGCTTGACAGATTTCATCAGCCAATGCTTCTTTTAGAGTTGTGATGCATATTGCCTCGCTTACCCCCTTTTTATCACTACTCAAGAAAACAGGCTTGTGCCAATCTTTCAGATGAAAGAGCAGGAGTACAAGCAAGTCAGTGTCTTCTCCTACTAAAGTTAAAGAAGCAGTCTCAGCAATGGCCAGGGTTTTATCAACTATATTTACATCAGCATCTCCTATGCATTGTGTAACGTTACACATCTGGATTCGGAATTCATCTGATAGGTATGATATGAGTCGTTTCTTATTTGCAGTATTACTTAAGAAGACTTCCCTTTCATATTGCATTCAGTATTAAGGCTAAAATTTACTTGGTTATCACCTTTTCTTCTTTTCTCATGGGTGTTACATTTGGTTGAAACGGATTGCTCATACCCATCAAAGACAACATCAGCTCTGCCATATTTGTGGATAGTGTATTCTGTGTAACTGTACTATCTTCTGAAAAGGTACTCCTTTGGGCCATAACAACTTGTGTAAAAGGTAGCCACCATCAATTACAAATCTGTCAGTCTTTGGTATGTTATTTTCAAATATGAATTTTGCTTCATTCATGTCTGATTCTTTTATCAAATCCCCTCGCTCATTTTCATATATAGGTCTTCTAACTGCTCTTTATTCGATGTCTTTGAGGAATATGCCTTTAACGTTGACATTGCTTCTGCTATCAGTGCTTCCTTCAACTTTGGCTTATCAGCTGTCAGCATTACATGGTTTCTTAAAAAGAGGGCTGGTGGATATGGAGTCAGTTCGTACTTGAACACATAAGATGTATCAATATCAACAGTCTACTGTATGATAAGGAACTGCTGAACGAGCACAGTGGGGTCAATACTTATGTCCTTGTATACTTTTATTTCGTTTGTAGTTCCCATTGTCACTGCTTTCTGGCTTCTCTTAAACTTATGCGAAAATGCGGTTCTCTTATGCATAGCTTTAATAATATCTTTTCCAACAGACTGGTATGAGTCCACATTGACTTCTTGACTTGCAACCTCACCATTAACAACATTTCTGAGCAATGGATCTGCAGAAAATGGGGAGTATTCTCTTAAAACATCAAGCAGTCGAGAAACATCATCGCAATCTCTTTGCAATCGTGCTCTTCCCAATGTTTCATGTTGCACGCTTGTTACCAGATCCACACCTGTGCTCTTCTGCATAGCAAGGTTAATTGCTGCTCGATGTGGCATTGATTGTGTCCACAAATTCCGCTGTGCTTCTGTCATCCAACTGCCTCTTGTCAGCCCACCTGATGTTTTGAGAGATCTCATTATGTTTGCTCTATGGTAAGAATCGGGACTAAGTCCTGCCCAAAAATTATTAGTGCGTCTTATTACATGGAAGCCATTTTGAAATCTTTGGTAAAGCTCTGGGTGCTCATCTGGAAGTTTCAGCATCTCTTCAAGGAAGAAGTGGGATGACCTTAGATAATGGAAATTACCGCTTGAGGCTAGAATAGGTAGACTGTCTTTCATGGATTTTAGCAACAAGTTCCAATTGCCAGAACGATCTGCAGCCACCAAATTCCTGGCAATTTTTATCCTATTCATGTAATTGAGAAAAAGGTGTGATGTTCTTGATTCAGATCCTAATGATGCTTTCAAATCATTCAACGATCCTTTGACGTTACATCTCTCTGGGATGTCTTTGATGGTTGCTTAATTTCTTTCAATCTTAGAGTAGATGTTTTCAAGTTCTGTGACATGGTTGCCCTCTTCTAGCATATTTATTAACAAAAGATTCAAGCACTTTTCCATCAGCAGATGACCTCTGAATGCTTTGTTAACTGCTTTGCCAGTAAGCATATGCTGTACCACATTCTCACCATATATGGTGGCGAGTATCTCTTTCAAGCCACTGCCTTCCATCAGCTTTCTTATTGCTCCAAGGAGGTCCATGAGGTAGTGAAATCCACCCATCATGACAACTATATTTCGGTTCTAGAGAGTTCAAAGTTATTTCTACCGCTTTCCAGTAGAGTGGCTGGTCAAATGTTACCACTGTATCCTGGCCATATTTCCTCGCAATGGTTGATACATAATGTATTGCTGAAAGTAAACACGATCTGTCACCAGAATACAAGTCAATCATAGGCAGGAAGTGAATTTTAGAAACCCCCGGAAACTTTTCCTGGTTGTGCACTGTTGCCATGATTCCTTGCCACATGGGCATTGGTCGATTAAAATTATAAAACTGAACTCCCATAAAAGATCACATTTCTATTCAACTGCTTGTAGCTCTGGTAGCTCCTTGAATTTCTTCTCCAGATGTCTCTTCCCATAGCTATATTGGAGAATCGGTATCTTTAGGGTTGAACTGGGAGGGTTGTCTTTCACTGGTTTTATACAGCCTGGTTTGTCGTCTTCTTGGCTGGTGTAGTTGCCGCAATTATTCCAAGACCGTGGAAGCTTCCCTTCCCATCCAGTGTGTTGGTGTTATGGTCGACATTGTACTAGGTTAGCTAGGCCTAGGCTTCTACATTTAATTAATACATCTATTATGGGAAACTTACCTAATACTGCAAATGCTTTATATTTTTCAACATTTTCCCTCAATTTAACAACAGGCTGTCACTTTTAAGCTACTGACTCTACCATATAGAAAGAAAAGCTTGTAGAAAAAAGTCGGAGCATGTCATGCTTGGCTGCCCAGTCTAATAATTTCCAAGCTGCTGCTCTCTGATTGGTCTATAATTGTATCAGATTTATCTTGGATTCTCATCATTTCTGTGGTGCTTACAAGTGGTCATTAATTAATGGACTGATTTACTTTAAGAAAACCGGTTTTGAGAGGCTGTTGTTTTGCTCTAAAAATCAGTGAAGAATACATTTGTAAGCCTGAAGAATATAATTGTCTGTTGACACCCAAATCATACAGTACACCTCATTTTTATGTTTTGTGTATAGACAATATTTTTTGTGCTTCTGGACCAAGTGGTTAAAGAGTAATGACCATCATATATTGTGTAAAGGTCAATGACCTTTGACCTTGAATATTTAGTCAATGCAGCAGAAGTTGGCAAAAATACTTTAAAAAAAATTATTCCAAAAACGTAGATGTTGCCACTATTTTTGTCCATGTAGGCAAACTGGTTGAGGAGTTATGACCATCATAGTTGTATAAAGGTCAATAACCTTTGACCCTAAATATTTAGTCAACGCAGCTACTACTAGTAGGCCATATAAATGTTTCAATAAAAATTGTTGACCCCACAAAATCTAAGTGTAGACACAATTTTCGTGCATTGATATCCAGTAGTTGAGGATTTATGAACCGGAACATGCTATTTAAAGGCTATTCTGACCTTTGACCCTGAATATTTGGTCAGCGCAGTTACTAAAAGGCGTAAAAAATTTCCCATAATTGTTGCCCCAAAAAACCTTGGTGTAAAAACTACTTTTGTACATTTAGAGCAAGTCGTTGAAGAGTTATGACATATAACATGCTGCATATAGGTAATTGACCTTTGACCCTGAATATATTATAAACGCTACTATAAAAAAGTGGCAAAAATTTTTTTATGACTTTTCAAATATAGGCCTACAAGAATATGCAAACAGTCCTTTTATTAGAGTTTGTTTAAGGTTAAATAGGATTTTTGTCACATTTAGCCTGTACTAAATGTTGCTGTTGAATCTTTCATTAACTCCCTTTTCATTTCTAGTTGATTCTTATATCATGCTTCATTTTTCTTTTGTAATTGTTTTCCTGAATGAATGAATGAATGAAAGAAAAAATGAATAAATGAATTACTTAACGGATGGACGACCAACTGACTGAACCAATGAATCAATGAACGGAAGAATGAATGAATGAATGCAGTGGATGGATGGATTGATGAGAATTGAAATGGATGGATGAAAGATAGATGGAGGATGGAGAATGAATGAAAGAATAGATGGATGGATGAATGGATGGATAAATAAATAAATTGGTGAGAAAGTTTCAGATCTGCAGTGGCGGCGACACAGGAGGATGGGGGAAATTCCCCACCCCCAGATAATTTTCTTCTCCATCCCCTGGTTTTTTAACCTCCCAGAAAGAAGGAAAACCACTTTCTACATATTAATAATAAACTGCCTACTAAAATCGATTAAATAATCATCTGAAACCCCTATTGTTATTTTTTCTGGGACTTCAAAACCTCCTTGACCACCTTTCACCCCGAGACATTTTGAGCAACGCCTGACCACACCCACCTCGGGCCACCCCAGCATATTTCCCCCCTAAATTTTAACTTTTCCCCTACCTTTTAATTTTCCCCCTCACTTTTCCACCCCCATAATAACGAAAAATAGACACATTTTTAATACGATTTTTCAATTATACAACTTCATTTATTTTTATAAAAATGTAGTACATAAAATTACATTTTTAATACGATTTTGCAATTATACAACTTCATATATTTTTATAAAAATGTAGTACATTAACATAATTTGTCAGTAAATATTAATCCGACAAACGTAAAATATTGATGTTTATTTTAGAATTTCAAATTTATTTCAGCAGAATAACTTATACATGTTTATGCCTATTTATCAATGGCACATATGTTTATACTTTAATAATGAATATCGATAAAATTGTAGATCATTACACCATATACGGAACCTAGATTTTGTAGGCGTAGTGGCTTGCCACGAATCGCTAACGAATCGGAATTTAGCTGTGAGGTGCGTTAATAAAGATTCAGAGAAATCGATGACAATTTTAACCAAATTAGATGGTCAGCATTCACTTAATTTCCTGGACGCTAATCTTTAACGAGAAGCAGAACTATCATTTTATTTAAGGTATCAATGAATGTTAAAAGGAAATATAATTTAATGTTCTATGCATGTGTAATACGTGACCTTGATAAAGAATATTGCTAGGCCACCTAGGAAGGCCTAGCCTAGGCTAGCTAGGGCCTATCCAAGCTTACTTTTCAAAAGGTAAATAATTGTGGGTGAGTAGAGGAGGTTGTGCTATTTTAAGCAGTAGGGCCTAGGCCTAGTAGGTATGGCCTAGGTTAGCACATGTCATTGATACTAGGCTAGACTAGCGTACTGATTATATAGCCTATAATTACTTACAGGTAGGATTCCAATCTTACTCCCAGCTGGGGCCTGGGCCTTTTTCTTAAATATAGGCCTAGGCCCTAGGCTTAATGTGAGCATGGAGGGCGACTCTAACCCCGAGTAAAAGACTGTGACACAGACAGTGACACCACTGTGACAGGCACTTGTTTTGGTTTCTGGACAAAACGGCAATAAATCAAAACGGCAAAAACCAAAACGCAACACTTTTTGACCTAGAACGACAATGGACCAAAACAGCAATAAGTCAAAACGACAAGACCAAAACGGCAATAGGCCTAAATTGTCATAGAAGTAAAAAACGTGAAAGGAATAACAATAACAATAATATCAATAAGAATAATAATAATACTGTTGTAATAGTAGCCTAATAATAGTAATAATAACAATAGTAATAATAGTTATAATAAGAGTTATAATAATTACAGTATGATGATAATACCTAATAATAATAATAATTACAACAACAGCAATAATGACAACAATAACAATATAACATACAAGTTCGAGTTCAAGTCCCCAATAAGGGGTGCCGATCCCTCGACAAGGGGTCAGATTTTCCCCGACGAAAGCAAAGTGGCGTGGTCGAGCTTCGATTAAAAGCTTTTGAAAGTGGTCCAGAGTGCGAAACCCCCTGAAAAATTTGACAATTTAGGGGTTTAAGGCTTATTTAATCAATTTTAGAGTCTACTAATATGTAGAAAATACATATAATTGTTTTTTCACCCCGACGAATTGTGCTTTTTCTCCCCTGGCCCAGGGTGGAAAAAGAGCAGTTGTGCCACTTTTCATACAAAAAATTTAGAAAACATTTTTGATATATTTTGTGTTTCTTGTGAATAAGCCCATTCATAGTAATAATATTTTTTTTTAAACGAATAGGAAGTTAACAATGACAATGTCACAACAAGTATTCCTATTAGATTAAATAGGCTCCATCAAGGCTAAATAAGAAACAGTTATGATTTCGCACATACTGTAGGGTGGGAAAAGGGTAGTTAAGCCAATTTTAGTTTTAAGTTTTACATGGAAAACTGTTTCAAATTTATGCTCTGCTTTTTGTTACATTCTATCGTCATTGAAACCTAGTCTTGTAAAAACTAATGTCAGTTATTTTTGTTTTATTTTTTCAGTTAATTTGCAATGGTAAGACAACGAGTTGATTGGTTCAGCAGATAAGATGTTCTCAGCACTGAAGAAGATCATTACCAATGAGCCCACAGATGGGAAGGGGAAGCCCCCATCTGGCGGCTTTCAAGCTATGGGGCAGAATCTACAGCGGCGCTTTGCCAAGGGTGTGCAATACAATAGTAAGAGAAAAAAAGCAAATTTTTATAATTTAAAGATGTATTTTTCCTTGAAAGTTACCAAAAAATGATTTACAACATTAATTGCAGCGCCAATTAATCAAAAAATTAAATTAAATTAATTATTAATTAATTAAATTAAATGATTAATCAAAAAATGATTTTGAAATCAAACATACAAATTATTGACTTGAGCAATGATAATAGAACATTATTAGTTTATCATTTTTGCTGTAAAATTAATTAATCGTAAACATTTTTTAAATACAATAATTTCCGTGTTCAAATTGATAATTTTTATGTTAATTTAATAAAATGAGCAGGTTAATTTCAAAAATTTTAGGACTTTTTCAGAAATCAGAAATTGCTTTGATTAAAAAAGCAAAACAGAAAAAGTCACCTTTTTAAATATTAGTATAACCATCTGTATTGGCACAGACTACTTTTAAAGCAACTGGTAGTCATTTTAAGATGTCTTTATACTTTAATCCATAAAATTCCTATTTTTCCAGTGAAAATAATAATTAAAGGTGATAGGAATGTTGGAAAGACAACGCTATTCCATCGTCTTCAAGGTCACAAGTTCAAAGAAGAGTACATTCCTACACAAGAAATTCAAGTCTGTAGCATTCAATGGAATTATAAAGGTAAGAGCAATTGATGAACAGCCCTGCCCTAGGTAGGCTACTATCTTTCATCAGTAAAAAAAATAGCAAATAATTAATTCTATTTTCCTAACTGTATTCAAATGTTTGGTGGCAGTTAGTCATGCGTATTTTATATGTAATGAATAACTCAAATTCATCCTACTGCACTTGTTCGAAATTTAAACAGCCTGAAGTTTATATTACTTTGAATCAGCATGTAACTATAGAATTGTAAATTGTAATGATTTAATTCTCATAAATAAAAAGGGGGAAAAACAATGTAATAATATTAAATTCACATGTAGTATTAGTACATTACTGAAAATAAATGACTGTTTGTGGGAGAACAGTAGATATCTACTGAACAGTATAAACAGAAAAACAAATTTAAGTTACAACTCTAAAAACCCCATTCCGTCAAAATTTCAGTTGTTAAGATAAATCTGATTTTTATGTATGTTGTAAAGATTTATAAATATAATACTAAATTGCTAGTTTAACTGAATTTAGACATCCCAAAACATTTAAAAAAATGTAAAATAAGACTGAAATTTCATTTTGTTTGTGTGTGTGTGTTCTTCACAAAAAATAAACGCAGATGAATTTTTTATGTTTGATTATGCAATAGGTCTGCAAACAAATATACTACAGTATATTTGTTTGCAGACCTATTGCATAATCAAACATGAATTTTTTATGTTTGATTATGCAATAGGTCTGCAAACAAATATACTGTAGTAGGCGCGGAAACATTAGAGTATCAACACTTCTAGTCTAGGCCTAGCCTTACCTCAATTTATGTTCTCTTATCAGACATAAAAACGGCGAACATGATATTTTCTATTGCTAGCATTAACACTTGTGAAATATAATATTTTGATGGATTTATTTCAAATTTCTTATAAAAATTAAGCTCCCCAAGATTTTAACAATTAAATAAAAAAAGTCAGGCCTCCTCGATTGAATGCAGTGTAGGAGATGCGCAGTACAAAAACTAATCTCGTTAGAGAGGGCGCACTTTATTGACTGTATAAAGTATACTCAAAAGCAACATTCCAGCGGATGCGATCTACAACCTCTGAATTTGCCTAGTTAACAAAATAAATTGTTGCGAAAATGGTAATATGAAAAACTCTCCATTTCTTTTTATTTTTTTTATCCTTTTGCGTAAAACTAAAATTTATGCCAATATTTTTCCATAGTTTATAATAATTAGAGTACGGTAATACGTACGCATTTTTTCTAAAAAAAATTCTTTTTTTAGTGAAATTTTGCTGGGAATAGGACTTTAACTTCTTAATCCAAATCTAAACTAGTAGCAACCTACAATACAGTATTTTATCTTTTATCTTTTAAGAAACTAAAATGCTTAAAATTTTTATATGTAGAAGATTGCGTAATGTAACTTCCTATGATTAATGCGTATTGTGATAGTCTACGTTATTGCTCAAATATTTTTTAATGTCAACAGTTCTTACAAAATACCAGCACCAATGTGCAAGTATTTGTCTATACAGGCATTTAGAGGTCAAATGTCATATCCATCATAAATGTCTTAGCTTTATTTTCGATTGCTTTTTATAATCTAATTATAAAAAAAAAAATTGTAGAATTTTTATGTGCATTTTCTACAAAGGAACATCTACTGTATAGGGAGAGACAATTAATTTACTTTATGCTTTAAATTCTCTGAAATGTGTTTGTATTTGACATTTGAACCCAACTAAACGTTGCATGGAAAGACATCGTTAAGTCATTAATACTGCCTCAATTTCCTTAATGCCGCCGCTGTTACTAGCTTGTGGTAGTCAACGTGAATTCAAAGGTATCGTAACAGCCACGTTCTGTACATTAACTGCCTGTCATTACATATTATGTGTTTATGTAATGTGTATGTTTAATGGTGACTATATAATTAATAACATGGTAATGTTTCCAGGAATAGCCAGACATTATTATTATTTTTAATGGAATTGGTGCATGACAAAATCATATGAGCATCGAAGTACAGTACTGTGTACCTTCCTATAGGTACTGTATGAGCGAAAACACTGTGGTTGGGGTTGCTGATCTATTGTTATTGTTTATAATATATCATGTGCTGTTGGATGTATTATTTGTGCGTGATGTTTCATTGTTTTGCCTGACATAGTTTCTATGTGGTTGAGGGTGTGTCTTAGTTTAAAGTGAGTGTAAATTGACCCTACTGTACCTTGCATTTCACCTATTTTTTTTTTAAACTTGTAGAAAAGTGGTATGAAGATGTGTTAGACTGCTGTAAACCATTGATGACATTTCAAAAAGTCCACTCTCTTCAATGCTTTCCATTTTCTTGTACTGGTTTTCCATTATTGTCTTATGATTTCAATTATTTATTTTCACTTTTCTACTGTTTTTTTTTTTTTTTTAATTATACATTTTATATTATAAACTCAGCACAGGTTGAATTTGTTTTTACAAAATTATATACAATACACAAAAATCCTTTCTGATTTATTTTACCCAGTATGTAGTTTGATGATCATGATCACATTAGTAATTACACCAAAGATCTGTGATGTGCAATATTAAACATACTACTGTAAACGACGAACCAACGGTTTCATCCTAGTTGTCTCGACTCTGACCAACTGAGCATAAATACCATACCTTGTCAAGATGAGGATCCCTACTGTATAACTTGGTTATTGTATTCAATTTCAAGCACATACCAATTATAACTTTAGGCCTAGGTTTTTATAGTATTAATTTTATTGATTAAAGTAGTACAGTAATTAACAATCTCATTATTCACAACATGATTATCAGCAAAGAAATAACACAGTCAGAGTTCTCTCACAGTCTAACTGTACAACACTCACTATGCACTGCGGCCATCAGCTATTGGTTACACATTACGCCACTGTAGAACAAAACCCTGGCCCTGTCAGATACTACACCTGCAGTTTAATATAACTCGCTGCAACAGCTCAACCTCTTAATACCAAATTGTGCACTGCCTAAAAAACAAATATGAAATGTTGCATTAGAGGTGTTGCTATATGTTGTATTGTTTTGTTCGGCACAGCCATTAAACAAATAACCTGATCATAATTTCTATTAATTCACATTTGCCGATGTAGACCAACAGTATTCAATGCCAGCAAATTCTCTTTCTGAATGTTACACTCCATAGTATAACAACATTAGTCAGTATAATGATTTTGTGAATGGCATGTAACAACCATTTAAACTATATCATTTATTACCAGCAAATTTTCTCTCTAAACATTTTATGAATTCAATTATTCACTGTCATGAGATTCACTGTCAGTGCAATAATTTTGTTACAACATAATTACTATACATCATACTTAGTATTGTGCAAGCCAAAGTATTTAACATTTAGACAATCTTTCTACTTCATTTTCACTACATAGTAGGCCCTACAATATAATATTTTAACCATTGTTCCTATTATAAAAAATTGTAAAACAATCTCCATGGTCATCCAGACTTAGAAGGCCATTAAAAAACTCAAGAGTATTTTCACAATTTCTGAATACGATTTTTCTTATAATATTCACACCCAACCTCAAAAATGGACTTCAATCACAGTAGAACCCATATTAAGGGGACACCTGGACACCTTCAGGACCAGGAAAGGTGTCTTCTAGAGGTGTATCCTGTATAGGTGTTGGCTATAGTGTTATTCCACAAACAAATGAAACTATATCTTGCAGTAAATATAAGATATACTTTCATTTGTTTGTGGCTAAGTCTCCTTATAGGGATGTCCCAAAGGAGGGGGCTCTGTATTTTTCTACTGATCTTGTCACCTATTTTTAAATACTTCCTATTAAAATTATAGAGCTTGCCTAAAATCCGTCACTATACTGAATTGTTCACCAATCCTACATGAGTTAAGACTTGAGTCCAATATGTCTTCTCTTTCTCACACCTTTTTGTTTTGAAATTGGTAACATTCTTAAGGTGATTTTGGTTTAATAGCATCTGTTTTGATAATGTGTGTATGTTGTATGCCAAACCTTTATGTGGTCACCACATTTGAATTATAAACTGTGAGCTTCTTTTCTATAGTTAATAACACCCTTTCTCATTTGAATTAACAATACTAACCTTCATTTGATAGTTTTGTCTAAATTTTATTAAATTATTAAGTTACTTTACAATTTTTCTAACAATTTAAAAAAAATTATACACTTTGTGGTCATCATACTGTACAATATTTTTAAAATTTAACTATATTGTGCCTAGCACATCAAAAGCTGGGTTTTACTATAAGAGTGACACATTCATACAAAATTTAGCATTACATTTTGGCACACTGGTTTTAAGGACCAATTTACATTTAAACTACTGTAACATGAGACTTGAACTTGTTTTTTTTTTAGAAATCAATTCGGAACTTTTTTTTTCTATTCTTTGAAACTTTGTAAGTGATTCACATCTTCTTGGTTTTATATGAGCATTTTCAGTTAAAAATTGTGGTTATGGTTTTTGAGAGAATGGTTCCTTGAGTAAAAATGGTTCTTGTGTGTGAAATTCTAGAGAAAAGTAAAGTTACTGTAATTTTCTGACCCCATGTTCTTATTCATTTATTTTTTATGTATCATATACCTGCATGGTTATAAAAGTATAAACTATACTTTATCTTCTATTAATTTCTTTTAATATGCCATTTTCAATACCTTTCTTTTATTCATAATATTCTTTTAATATCGTTAACATTTGAAGATGAAGTATAAAAGATGAAATAAAACGAATATTGATGTTTTTTATCTAGCCACGGATGATGTCGTGAAGGTGGAGGTGTGGGATGTTGTCGACAAGGGACGAAGCAAGAAAACTAACGATGCGCTAAAGATATCGAACGAGGAGGTAGAAGAACCAGTTGATGAGCCTTGCCTGGACGCGGAGTTTCTTGATGTCTACAAAGGAACGAATGGAGTGGTGATGCTCATGGACATCACAAAGCATTGGTAGGAACAATACAATTTCACTCTTTACTTTTAAGTATTCCGTTTTATAGTGATATGGTAATTAAAGTTTATACACTTATAATAATTGATGTATAATGCAGAATTTACACACAAGAAAATGATTGTAGCACATAACTGTAACACTACATACACATACAGTACATCAGAGGTCTCCCAGAAGGTGGGGGAGTCTTCCAGAAATCAGCACGGCCTCCCGCGAGCAAGCAATAATCTCCCGGAAAATAATCTTTGCAAATTCATAATATTTGCATGTTTTTACTACCTTTCAATTGTCTCACGGAAGTCAGTGCCTATGGGTGAAACCATGCCAACAAAATAAAATTAAATATGTTAAGAAAGCTCATTAACCAGATCTCCCGGAAGGCATTCCTTCCAACAGGGGACCTCTGGATACATGCAAACAAAAGTGATAGCAGTAATTTTGTGCATTTTCTGCGGTTTGTCTCTTTCTGCTAATTTTCCTATTGTCCGGGCCCACATAGGCTCTTCAGCATTTTTTTTTTTCTGCAGTAGACCTTTTTTCTAGCCCCTATGCCCCAGGTTCCTCTTTTGTGCTCTCTTCTTTGTCTCAATAATGCTTTTGACTTCTGTGCACTTTCATCCAATTTTTGGCCAATTGTCCTGGCCCTTTAGTTATGGTCTTGATTCATTGTAGAATCTTGCGTTTCCTTTCGTATATTCCTGAACCTATTAATACTCCTAATCTTCTGGCATTTTTCATGTCATTGAGCTAGTTTCTACAATGCTATGATCTGTGTTCTTTACATGCCTTTACTGTAGTTCAACATTTTATTTTTAAAGATTTTTTGTACTTTTTAAAATCATCTTTAACAAGATTACAATCTAGTATCAAACACTGCTTTCCATTGTTTTCCTCGAACAAGACTTTATTAATAATATTAATGCCCTGTCCACATTGTCAAATTTTATTTAACAAAGTCATATGACATGCCTAAATATGGCCGTGGAGACAACAGTTCATGACCATGTATAGGCACATTATAATTTTTTATCAACGAAAAATTTGATTTGGAAAGAGCTTTGTACTATTACCTTGTTTGTTTCATTTTTTTTAATTGTCATTAAATAGATAATTTATTCATTATTGTTGTGTGTGTCACCATTTTGAAATCATGTGTTTTTTATATTTTGTAGGTTTTTAATAATTTGCTTGTTTCATTTACACTGTTTACTTTTTATCTGACAGGACTTTCAATTACATTGAACGTGAGCTTCCCAAAATTCCAAATCATATCCCAGTGGTTGTCCTGGCCAACTTCCGAGACATGGCAGAGCACCGAACAGTCCTAGAAGAGCACATAAGCACCTTTGTAGAGGAATTTGAAAGGTGATTTGGCTGAAAGTTTTAAATATTAGATATAAAATACAGTGAAGATAAGATAAGATTTATTGGTTCATTCCTTTAAACAGAGTATACATTCCCACAAAGAAAGTTCAACCCACACAAAACTTAAGAAAATACAGGTATATAAAATTTATAAAATAAAATATAAAAATATGAAACATATCAAATCGACTAAAAATATCATTGTACTTAAAAGGAAATGAATATCAAATTAAAACAGAATAAATATACAATTACAACAAGGCATAGAAACAACTAGGCCTATGTACATTAATTAGAGTTTTTCTTAAAATTAAATTCTATATTTTAAAAATACAAATGAATACATAGGTAACATGTTAAATCCAAAATTATATTTAAATTAGATTGAAAAACAAGGCAAACCCTGTCATAATACACAGTGGTTGTTTTTAATTTCTGTAAATTAATTTTTTCAGGCCTCCTGGATCAGCACATGTACGTTATGCAGAGTCTTCCATGAAGAACGGGTTCGGTCTTAAATACCTTCACACATTTTTCAACGTTCCCTTCTTACAGCTGCAGGTAGGGGAAAGTATCTTTTGAAGATCGTTGTTATTTACGATACGATTTTTCAAGTGACATGTTTTCAATTTTGTTCCTAAGTAGTAATTAAAAATGTATTGTTAACAATAAAGAAGTTGTGTATGTATGCTAGTTCACATTTGAAATAAACTAAAAAATTGTGCACATAATTGCTGTGATGGTTACCGTATGTATCCGATGTTACCGTATATCCTCAGGTATAAGACAAGACACAAACAAATAACAAATTATGATTGAAAAACAAGGGGTCGTCATATAAACATATGCACATTTTCTATTTTTAAATCATGTTTGTCTTATGTGTGGATTGTCTGTAACAAACATGCAAATTTACTACTGAAGTGATGCTATAGCCTACTAATTGTTATTATAAAAAACAAGGGGTTGTCATATACTGTACATGCAACATATACACATTTTCTATTTTTAAGTCATGCTTGGGATATGTGCGGATTGTCTGTGTAACCAACACGCAAATTTACTACTGAAGTGAAGCTGCATGTATAACCTACTAACTGTTAGTATGAATGACAGCACATTTAAATGCAGGGAAATAAGATTTTTGATGAACATTTAAAAATAGTATTATTTGGAAGATTGGCCCTGCGTTTGGCTCCGTTTTTAGCCAGGTAGATGCAGTATCAAAACCATAAAGAGAAGCAAAAAGTAGGAATTCTTAGGGTGAAGCGGTGGTTGTCTTTATACGTCTGACATACAAAAATCATCTCAAACTCAGGAGTTGTCTTATACTTGAGAATATACAGTGGATTTAGTTTTTATAGATGCCAAACACGAGACCGAAAAAACCCCCCAAACTATGGCCTTAAAGTTAATTACTGTAGCCTAAAATATTTTGTCTGCAACAGAACCCACTTGCTGCAAGAAGCGTTTTTTGTCCTGAGTTGCATGCTTATCTTTAAAATGAGATTTAGAGTGCGCTATTTGTATCATATTCAAATGAGTTGGTTTGTTTACTCAAAATCAAATTTGAATTACAAAATAACAATTGTAACATTTCTACTCAGCGTGAAACATTACTACGGCAACTGCAAACCAACCAATTAGAAGCAGATGCGACCTTAGAAGAATTAAATATGCGATTGGAATCTGAGGACCAAAATTATAATTTGTAAGTGAATAGAATTATGTATTTTTAATGCTGTATTATAAATGGTTGATATTGTTTTTTGCAGTAGTATTTATAAGATATACTTTCAACAGGAAAATAGTAAATGACTAATCTGTCACTGTTGCAATGTAGAAACATATTGAATATCTGTTTTTAATACTATAGTAACATTTTATTAGAATAAAGTTAAGGGTATTAAAGGCACATAAGAATATAAGGAAACGTATCATTTGTTTGTTATTTTTTTGCATGGATATGATTTTCTTGATTCTTTATTCAGGTAAAATCTAGTAAATTACAGTATTACAATGTAAAAAAAGTATGCAATTATTTTTGTAAAAATATAACAATTAAAGTTAGATTTAGGTGGTTGTATTATCTTTAGGATTATTCTCTGAAACTTTGATAATAGCAAACAATTTTGAATTACTTTTTCTCTCATTTCCTCAATATAGATATTTAGAAACATTAGAGATGAGAAGAAAGCAGCGGCAAAATAGAAGAACTCCTGAAAAACTAACAAATGGAACACCCCAGATTACTGTAGGTAAGAATTCTCCATGGAATAACAATGAGTGGACCTAAGACTGTAAAACTTAATTATGAGGTAGACGGTATTTTCAAGATGATGGTTTTATTACAAACGACAACCACATATTAAGAGCAAATACCATGCTAATTTAGATTTAATGGTAGTGCTCTAGAAGAAGCTGTAACCATTTCAACATGTAAGACCAATATATTAGGTTTTAACACATTTTGCCATGCCCCTTAAAGACTATGGTATGATGCATTAATTCTCATGTTCAAAGGTGATATAAATGGGAACTTACAAATTCTTCTATTAAAAGTAGAACTTACAAGTATGCAGTAAATTTAAAGGTTGTACGTAGCGTGCATATCTGTAATATAGCACCTGCCGAACATAAATAAAGAAAATTTAAAAAATTAACCACTAGTGTCCTGAAATTCAACAATACAGCCTAATTAAAAAAAAATCTATTATAACATTTTTCTAATATGTTCTAATTTTTAGATCATTGTACTACAAGTTCCCAAAGCACAACTCCTATCAGTACTCCAAATCAATCTTCCCCTGCCAGCACTCCTCAAAGAACTACCCCCTCAACGTCACCTAGTAGCCAGCGAAGGAATTCACAGAGGAATGAATCACCCCTTCCGGAATTATCAACCCCATCACCACCCCCTGCTGCAGTTGCTCAAGCTTCTATAACTTCTCGTTTTGGGAAATTCTTCAGTAGTAAGAAGTCTTCAAAAGAATCAATAGAGGTATCAGGTGAGGTCTGGAAAGATTGTCTACTGCATCCAACAGTGTAAAGCCCAATTTGGATAAAGCCATTTCCAGACTGACAAATTTTATTTGAAAAAAACATGCAACATGCCTTAATATGGTGATTATGACATCATATCCTGACTGTATATAGGCACATTATGACTATATAATATGGGCTTCTTTGTCACTATATCAACAGACGAGATTATTCAGCAATAAATATCCCACTAGATTCACCATTTCTCCAATTTTTTTAAAAAGTTCTTTATCCTTACAGCTACAGACAACTCTCCACTAGATGTACCCACACCTACAAAAGACACAGTCCATGATGTGGATGACTTCATTCCAGATGGTGGTGCTCATAATGACTTCTGGAAGGATGTGGAGAAGACATCAAAGAAAGTGAAGAAAACTACAATAAAACAAGAAATGTACAACAGTGATAGGTGGGTTAATATTGATATTTTCAAGGGGATAATAATGACATATAAATTAAACTATAGCTTCTTATTTATTTATTTATTTGTTTATTTATTTATTTATTTATTGTTTATAAATTCACATCCACTTCTAAAAAAACATTCAACACAGCCTCGTACAAAAATTATAAGACAAAACTATAAAGTACAAAAAGAAAGGTTAGTGGCATGTCAAGAGAGAATAAATGGGCTAGGAGAATAGGGACATATCACAGTTACTTGTCACATAAATGTTCTAGTGTGTACACAGCTTTAGTTGAATTTTTTTAGTTTTCCAGATTTTATGACAGACAGTATACATTTCTGTCTCTTATACACATCTAGATGTGTATAAGAGACAGGCTTCCAAGAGGATCTGGACTCAGATGATGAAGCAAACTTTCCCTCAGCATCAAATGCCATCACCCAGTCTTCACCCACCGGCTTGGCTACTAATGACAGTGCATCAGACACAGAAACACCTCCGAAAACCACCTTCACCAGTAAAGACATCGATCTGTCAAGCTCAGAGGATGAGCAACCTGTAATTTCTGAAGATGTTGATATTGACATCAGTGACTTCAAAACAGAGGTAAAGAAATTTTCTTCTACTAAACCAGCGGCGGACATTGGCAGCAAGAAGCCAAGAATGCCAAAGCAGGAGAGCCTGCCTCCACCTGTGGAGAGTAGCGATGATGAGGATGACAGTGATGTAGAACAGGTATGCTTCTCCATGTTACAGACCTGCCAATCGTCCCGATTTAATCGGGATTGTCCCGATTTCCGATGTCAAAAACACCAAAAAATTGCGATGTCCCTATTTTTAGAATTAAAAAAAAAAAAATACATTGTAAGAAGTATCCACTACTTGCCAGTGTAATGAAGGGAATATTAGTCTGTAGTCAGACCACGGTGTTGTCTATTTTTAGCCTTAGTTAGCGAGCTGTTTACTTTTAGCGACAGTAAACAAAAAAAATTTACAAGGATGGGCTTTGTATTCAACTGTACGGCGACCAATGTCTGTTATAAGCAATTGGAAGAGTTTTAAGTCAGCAGAATTCGGAGACAATTCCTTATTTTTGTGAGCATTTGTTAAATTTTCCGGCCTAGGCCTACTCACCCAATTTATACCCTGGGACTTTACCCGGGGAAATTTTTGTACGCGAAGTTGGGCGTAAAGTCGGGGGTGGGATTATACCCAGGGAACTACGATAATATTTTATAGCAATAGTGACTGTGAGAGAGTTTTCTCTATTCTTGAAAAAAAAACAAGACCAAGCATCGAGCTAGCCTGACAACAAAACTTTAAGTGCTTTAATGACACACAAGCTGGCAAGGTTGAACAGAGATATTAATTGTCATTCGTCTAAATAATGATGAGATCAGCAAAACATGCAACATACCGTGCCCTTCATGGTGAAGTCTGTAGGCCTACTGATTAAAATGTAACTTAAATATTTGTGTTGGTTGTGAGGTAAATAAACAGTACATTTAAAATTAAGTACTGTAACACTTGTTTTTTATTTAAAGCAACAGGAATTAGGATATATAATTACCATCTTACAAATTGTTTGGGGTGGGGGTGTGGCACCAATGAATAGTGTCCCTATTTTTGATTTTCGAATGTTGACAGGTATGATGTTACTTTGAATCTCTAACCTCTAAGGCATTATCGCTGCCTCTTCCCTTTTACCAACACTTGGCAGCTTATCTAACTCAATAATATTGACATTGTCTTGCATTCCTAACATTGTAGGCTGCTCAGAAGAGTCGAACATCCAGCACTGATCAAGAACCAATGCAGTCACCACCTCCAGTCATAAACCTCGATCTGGATGATCTTGACTTCCTAGAAAGTGTTGGCTCAAAGAATAATAAAACTAGTAAGTAGTTGAAAGACAATACAGCAAAAAGTATTAAAGCTGTAAATCGCTTATTGATGATATTGTGAAATGAAACTATTTTAACCTCACTGGTGGTCAGGCCTGTAACGCATAAGCGCTCTCATGCAGCAGTCCACAGTAGCCCCCAACCTATAGGCCCCCAAAAATACTGGTCACCAAAATATAACGAGCTAGCTACAGTAATCTAAACCTATTCTCTAAACCTAGTGAACCAAAAAGTGTTTAATATTATTTTAAAGATTATTTTAAAGAGACAATAATATCTTTTTTTTAAAAACTTGGAAAATTAAACTGCCTCTATATTCGTTATAAAGCTTTGTATTGATAATGATTTTGGATGCAAAATTTGTCTCTGAAATTGAATGTTAATGCTTCGAGCCTAAAATAACGAAATTGCTCAGGCAAACAGGAGGCTTTACCCCCTGAACTTTTACCATGGAACCTTGATGTTCTAGCAGTGACAGTGTCTGTACTGGGCCCCTTGTCCTATGAAGCTACAGGGCTTTTGTCTTACTTAACTTGTCATTATTAATTACTTTTTGCATTCTCTTTAAATGTGAAATTCAGTGTTTTAACCTCTATCCACACAATCAAATTTTATATAAATGGCCCATATGCATGATTAATGATGTCATATCACAACCAAATAGGGACATATCACAGTTACTTGTCACATAAATGTTCTAGTGTGTACACAGCTTTAGTTGAATTTTTTTAGTTTTCCAGATTTTATGACAGACAGTATACATTTAGTGTAAATACATACATTTATGTGATCATTAAAAACATACGACCATATCACAGCATTTCTATTATCAAATTCATTACTCATTGTCCATCTCCCTTCTTCATTTCACCATCGCCTCATTCTTTAGAAAAACTACACAGAAGAGTAAGTGATGAATTTGACATTTTAGTCAGCGTGAAAGAATCCAAGCTGGAATTGGAGAATGATGTTATTGACAGTAGCCATAGCGACGCAGATACCACCAGCACTAACTCATCAACAAAGAAGAAAAAGCACAAAAGCAAAGATCGAGATAGAAGGAAAGAGAAATCATCTGAAGAGGTAATAAATTGTTTATAATATAGTACATTGCCAGAACCTCCCCTTTTTACCCTACTTCTACCTTGCCAGACACATTTACCATAAACTGAATTTCCTGACATCTTTACACTAAAACTGTCTTGCCACAACTTCTTTAGATTACAATTGCATTTCCAGACCCTTTCATTACGAGTTGAGTAGCCGAGCGGTAAGGCATGGCCCAGCGAACTACAGCTTGAACGTCGGCGTTGATTCAAGCCCTTGTTCAGGGTTTCTGTTGGTAGAACCAAGTCTTCTCAGATAAGTCCAGTGTACACATCTGGCTTGTGTGCCATTGCATCTTTTGGATGAGTAGGGGGTTACTTCAATGCTATAGTTCATTTCAGCCACCGTCATTTTGTGAATATGAAGTTACATTTATTATAATAATTGGCTAGGTAGTCACGAACCACGCCCATACGCAATTCAGCACAATGATACTCGGAGTTATGGGTTACTATATTCTCTCTACCTTTACCTTCAACTGCCTTGCCATCCCTTTGTTTGACTTCACAACTGCCTTGCCAAATTTACTTCTTTACCATAGAACGCTGCTTGGACATCCCCCTTGTTTATTGAGCACTTGCATTGCCACACTTCTATGTACTAAAGTATACAATACTGCCAAACTCTTTAACATAGCAACACTATGCTGGTTTTGGGATGGCATGTCCTCATATTGACAATTGTGTTATGAAAAAATACTAGTAAAATTTAGTTTTTCTATAGGTTAATGTATACTAGGTCAGTGTATAATAGGTTTAATGTAAACAAGGTTAATGTATACTAATGCTATCATATTTTTATAAATTATTATTTTGTTACTTAGAATGATGGTAAAACTAAAAAGCACAAACACAAGAAAAGCAAAGATAGAGACAGAGAAAGCAAGAAAGACACTGATCCAGAGAGAAGAAAAAGCAAAGATAAATCAGAAAATGCTAATACTGGTGAGAAGAAAAAGAAAAAGAAATCTAAAAAGGTTGAAGTTACAGAAGACCCTGATATGGATGCTTTTGAGGCATTCCTGGAGGGGACAGGAGACGGCAACTATGAAGCATTTTAAATACATCCATCTAAAATCATAGTATATATTTAATTTATATGTTTGTGATGTTATTGATATACTGAGGTGTATATGAATGATAAGGAGGCATTGGAAAAACTCCAATTTGGAAACTAAGATTGTCCAAAATTTGATATAAATTTATTGAATGTCGCAATCAACAAGATCTTTCAGGTACACAGATCTTTTAAATGAATTTATGGAAATTTCAGATGCAGTCAGTCTGTCGCACAAATGCAAAACAGTTGAACTGCACTTTACGTAATTCCACTTTAAACATGATAATTTATTATATTGTAATTCTTTTAGCCGATATTGAACAATATACACTTAAAAATGTTTCTAGACCTAAATCGCGATGAAACATACCAACCTTGCTGTATACCATGGTATATATTTTGTAAACCCTCCTGTAAGTGGCGAACTTTGTGTTTGCTGTTGGTTGGGGAAAGAAATAAAGAAAATAAAATTTTAAAAAATAAATACAGTAAAACAAACAGTTGAAAGGAGAAAAAACTTTTAACATACAATTGAACTTCAATCATTGATTTATTTAATCCTTTATTTTAAACCTTAAATGCTGATATTAAGCTTAAATAAACATTGATAATTTTCAGCCTAAATGCAATTACTCCTCAAATCTCTCTTCTCAGTGCTATTCATCTCAATTGCCATAAATACGCTTCGCAAAAAATTGTCAGAATTAATTTTTTTCTATTGGGAGAATGCTATTTATATTTATATATTTATTCATTTTATTGACACCTGTGTTGTATGCATTTCCATATGAAATTATATATTTAACTTTTTATTTCAATAATATTAACTTATATTGTTACATTAAATAATGTAATATTTGTTGGGGATAGGATATCATTAAATGCCTAATTATAAATGTGTATATGTTCATATATACATAATTATATTCCTTTGATTGTTTAAAACTCAATAAGATTGTTGCAATGAAAATGATGCAATAATTGAATTTTGAAAGCTCCTTTCCTTTGTCGTTTTTTACAGGAAATATTATATTTTATGCATTTTCCAGCTACCATATACTAAATAAATGTTAGTAATAATAAGCTGTGATAGATTATTATTACTATCATATAATAGGTCCCGGGTTGTTACCATAGTTGGCCATCAATTAGGGGGAGGGGTTGGCTTATACACCAGGACACCTTTGCACAAATTTGGAGTATCCTCTTCTAAATAAGTCTCAAATATGGTTAATACTAACTGAAAATAATGAAAAAAAAAAAAAAACTAGGGGGAAAATGTGTGCTATGCAGTATGACAAACTGGCTTTGGGCTATTGTGTGCAGAGACTGATTGTTCATGCTCCCCATACAGGGAATTTATTCATCAAACTCCAGGCCTCCGGCCCCTTGTAAAATAAAATTATTACAAATTAAATAAGCGTGCTGTGACAATACCGTACTTTAAATACATTTCATTAATACACCAGAGACTGATTGAATGTGATGGAGGGCCCTAGCTGGCCGGTACAAAAATAGGAAATCACATTCAAATTCATTTATGGCTATCTACAGGGAGATTATATTACGTACCTCAGCCCCAAACATGGTAGGGCTATGATGTAGTCTGGACCCTCTAAATGACAAAATTCCCTGCTCAGGCCCCCTCTTTTTCATATTCCTGGATCCATCACTGCTGTGTATACAGTACTTCATGTCCATTTCAGTGGCGTATTAATCATGTAATTGTGTAGGACTTAAGCTGTTAAATACTCAATATCAGCCTAAGCAGTAACTGAGCTGGATGTCCTTGGCATTCCTCTTATTCAACTTTTATCCTAGTGCTTTTGGTCTGGGAAAGGCTTGTACTGCATAGGGTGGGCCTATACCTGGGGTGTACTACAGTATTATTAATTATATTTATTTATTTGTGTAATTTTGTTCACTCAGTCACTTTGGTACTTCTAAAAAGCTCAAAGTCTCAGTGTTTATCAAAATAAGTGTAACTGAACATATATTTTATTTATTCATAATCAAATATTATCTTTCTTCCCACCTAATAACTATGGAATTATTTCAGTGATGATGAGGTAAGCTGGTCATTGTGCCTGTGTTTTGTCTCCATTTTGTGACATAGTTGTACTTGTAAAGTAGCTGAGTGCGATGGTGCCACACCATAGGAGGTTTCCTAGGATAGAGTTAAAATATACAGTACACAAACTTGTATCATTGTAGCGCTAGATTAATGCCCTGTATGTTGAACTACAGTATTAAGTTTGTTGCTATCTAGCTGTTGAACTTTAGGTTAATCTATGACATAAATTCATGGAGGATGGAGGGTTTTAACAGAGGAGATCTGATCTCATCAGGAGGAGGCCAGCAATGTCTGAGGCAACAGAAACATTAATGGGGTGCACACCTAGTGTTTGGCCAATGTAAACTCTTCTGAGATTTACAATTTGGAACATGTTATGCCCAAAGAATTGATAAGAGAAATATTTTTGCTTTGTCGGTCAAGGGTACCTGGCCGTTGGGTCCAGTGGTGGCCCAGAATTTTTGCCGACGGGTCTGACAAGTTACAAGGTATCTAGAGAGAGAGGTCCCAGACCAAGGGGCTGACTAGAGCCTCGGTCAGGGTCCTGGACTAAAAATCTCTGGTAGGGTTCATAAGGAGAGTTTTGGCTAATAGTATCGCCTAAAATTTTGCTCTTAGACCACAATATTAGGTATTCGCAATTGAAAGATTGTTACTTGGATATGTAAATTAATATTTTTGGTCGTACAACTGAACTGAACAACAAAGGTTGCAGGCCTGTCACACTGGGAAATTTCCCCTCCGACCCTCCGCTGGCGCCACCACTGACTTTAAAGTATGGACCAAAATTATAAAAGCTGTTATTTACATTGATAATAGTACAGTATATACTGTAATTCATATTTTGCGAGTTTGCTTGATTAATGGCAATCTGTAAGTAGTTTTCATTGCCATGCTTTAATAACAGGGTTACGTTTACAAGTAAACCAACATAACTACATTGTTCAGCTAATAAAACTTTTTTAAAACAGTTTATAATCTCTAAAAATGATTATTCACTATTTGCTTATTCCTAGCTCTTGTGCATAATATATCAATTCAATGACCTGTTTACTAGAAGCATCTGTCTCATGTTGTAGTAAGCATTTAATTACTGTACCCCTAATTGTAAACCAATGATACCACTAACCTCTAGCCCCTGTCTGCGAACAGGGTTATCACTAACCCTTCCCTTCTTACACAGCATTTTAGTCTTATTTTCTAGCGTATTATTATTATTATTTATATTTTTTTTTTTTTAAAGAAATATACTAATGTTTTAATCAAATTAAATTTGTGTGTGGTAAATTAGGTTATGGTAACAATACTACTGTTCAAAACATATTGATTTTTTGTTAGCTTTAATATAGGAAATGCTCTCATTATACATGGCACATACAGCATCAATCTAGTGTCAGTACTAAGTGAGCACTTGCCCGATGCCAGTCCAAGTAGGTTATCATTGCGTCCAGTGGCGGATTGAAGAAGCCCCCTCTATTTTGAATTCCTGGATCTGCCACTGGTGTCGTGCAGCTATCTCATCAAATCATGCCGCTGATGTAGTCTGCACCAAGCCTTAGTTGCTAACAGTATCTTGGTTAATTTTTTTAGCTTAAATATATATGTGTTCAACTAATAAAACTTTTTAAAAAATTAAATATTTAAATTGCTTAAGAAAATAATGTGGTTATTTAGATTAAGTATGTAATCCGTTAATAATCTGTCCAGATTAACCTGGTTATCCAGTTCAATTCATACATGAATGTACAAAATACAGTATTAGATAATCCGCAAGTTGAATGGTAATCCAAACAGATTAATTTAGGGTTAATGTGATGACTTGGGGATTTATGTGATTACTTGGGATTAAGTATGTAGTCAATTATTGATAATGTCTACTACTAATCCAATTGAGGTGATTGATTGCTTGTGTAAAGTATATATTCAATTGCTAATCTGTCTGTAATTCCTGAGAATCTCTTTATTTTTGTGGATTAAATTGTTGCAGTTTGTGAGAGTTCCACAAGTTTTGAAAACTGAGAGAGGAATGGGACCAGGGGCGTATTTAGGGGGTGAGGAGGATGTGCACGCTTCTCCAAAAAACACTCGTCCCCCTCCTCCCATTTGCTTCCCCAAAATTACTCAAGTTGTTAAAAATCACCTAAAATTACCTTAATTTTCGAGCTAGTGTCCCTCCCCCCCCCTCAATACCAATTTGAAGACTCCTAGATATGCCACTAGATGGGGTACATTCCACTTGCCATTTGGATCCACCACTTAATTTACACTTTCCTCACTTTTCTACCTGTCTGTCCATCCTTCCTACCTTTTTGCATATCTACCCACCTTTTGTCCACAGAGACAATTTGTTTTGAAGACCATGCTGCATTCAAGATTATCATAATTTTGTTCATCCTTCATTACCCAACAATCCTTTTCTTTATCCCATACCAGTCTGTTGCCAGTAGCCAACCAGTAAATGGCATCATTGGTGGTTGTGTGTAATAAACTGTTAATGATTGGCAGTGATTTTTAACGGCGTATATCTACTTATTTTATTCAAAGAGCAGGAACGTGTTTTAGGTCATGCAAAGCCGGTAGTTAAAATATGTAAATAATGTGTATAAGATAATGTATAGTTATAATTGTCAAAAGGTTAAGAGGATACAATAATATTCATGAAAATGTCATGTATTAAATAAATGGAAAAAAAACAGATATTGAAGCCTCTTGTCAACATATTAATATAATTTTTGTGTCTGATGTTTATAATTCCTTATTTCGTATCTGGTATATAAATGAAATAAATTAAACATAACATGTTTTTATGTGTTTGTCTTAATTGGAATAAAACTACAAAACTGTAGTATTATTATGTGCTTGCAGGATTTTTTTTTTTTTTTTTTTTGCATGTTGGAAATTGGTTGAAAAAAACGTAATCATTTAAATAGTTCCATGTCATGATACCACGCTGGGGTGGCACCAGTAGTGTAAGGGCCCTTTCAGAGAGAGCCCACACCCCCCCCCCCCGACCATGTGGAGAAAAAAACATAGATTGCATAGGCCTTTGAAATACCTATTGTCATAGTTTCTCCTTCCAAGAGATTTTTATGCCAAACTGCACTTTTGTTGGGGACATCGTCTGGTGAGAGCGCATGTTGTGATTCAGAGTTGTCAGATTGCTAATACAGAAACTGTTATGTTGTCTAAAAGCATATTTTGTGCTATCCTTAACCATAAAATCTCCCGATAAACCCCCCTGATCGAGGTTGGGGATACAAATTTAAAAAAAAAAGGGTTTTGCAGAATAAACATTAGCCTTGTATCACTGACAATAAACCTCCTTTTATCACTCAAAACTAACCTTTACACCCTCATCCACTCGCATAGGCCTAGGCCTCCTATTAAAGTTCACAACATTGATAGTCCATTTTCTTTCACATGAATAAAATTGAACCATATCTGCTGCTGTTTAAACAGTCAGGTCATGTGTAAGTAAATACGAATTAGCTCCCACTCGCTTGAAAAGGGTAGGTCTACATATCCACTAAGGCGCAATATTGGTCATATCAACAGAATGTCAAGAAAGCAGGGGTATGTATTATGTAAATAATACATACCCCTGTAATGTCCTTCATAAAACAAGCTTTTAACTTACGAAAAGTAATGGGATTGTCGGCCAGCATTTTTTTCTATTTTGCTGGTTTTCTGTTCTCTTTTTGTCAGTAATTGTATAGACTGTAATACTATTTTGTTTAGTGATGTCAATATATGAATCTGAATGATTCGGCAGCACCCCAAAAAAAAAAAGTATAGGCTGCACTCGGCTCCATGGTGGATTTTGAATGTACAGTACTGTATAATACTGTATAATGGAAAAAGTTAAAAACTACATCATTCATCACCTACTTGGAAGAAGAATGTGATAAAAGAGCAACTCAAAAGAAACCATCGTATATAGATTGGTTAACAAACCTCATCGTCATATTTATTCAGTGTATATTTATAATTATTCATTTAAGGATATATAAATTATGGATCTCTTTGAAAAAAAAATTTGGCTTGTATCGTGCAGTGATTGAGGCCCAGTAGCAGTGTAATTTGGCTACGAGCCAATACTCTAAAGCTTGGGACATACCTGGTTTAAAAATCAAAAATATATCTAAAAAGGCCCCCAAAATACCTAGATATTCAGATTATTAACATGATTCACCATTTAGTTTGCCAAATTCACTGGTATTGGTAATATTCTTATTCTTCTAAATCTTTATTAATATATATATATATTGTATATAAAATCATGTCCTTTATTTGAACACTATATATATATATATATATATATATATATATGATATACCAGTTTAACTACGGCTACTTCACTATATAAACAGCATTAATTTGTGAATTGAACAATGTTTATCCAACATCCAGTTATTGTCTCATAGGGTCTGTTTATTCACACACATAATTTAAGAATAACTAAAATTCCTACCCTCATATTATACACATAATTCTCACTTTAATTTTTTATTTCATGTCTTTTATCAGATGCATCCATATTGAATACCGTATGGAGATATTCATGTTGGGTTATGACTAGAATGTACTAAAAACCGTGTAATATTTAAATTACAGTTATTAACATTTATTTTAAAAGATGGAAGGGAATGTTAGCAAATTGTAAAAAGATTTAAACAAACTCAATTCAATACTTGTGAGAGACAGAAGATGGTAGGAATGTGGTGGTGGATGCAAGGGCAGTGTAAATTGTACCCCCCCCCCCAGACCCTTTTCTTTCAGTAGTGTAAAAATCATTTATAGATAAGAGATTTAAATGGTTAAAACTCCTACAAGCTTCCAGTGTGATATGCCCACAATATGTAAGGGAGTACCCCAAACTCTTCATCTACATCCTCGATTGCCAATGGCATCCCAAACACTCCCACCCCTGCAAAAAAAAATTCCTGGATCTACGTCTATGAAGGAGAAACAAATTAAAGATGCTAGTTAATCATAAGAGGCGAAAGGTCAATTCTGGCCAAAAGTTTCAAGACATGCCAGTGCTTTTTCATACACAATTTGTCTAAAAAATATCATAATTTTTATTGTTCTCAAATTTTCTAAAAATATATATATATATTATGAAGTATTGTATACAAGAGCTGAAAATTGCAATAATAGGACACTTATATGAAACTGGTATATAACTACAGTATACTAGGGCAAACTTAGGTCCACACACCCCCTTTTGGTCTCTATAATAATAAAGAAAACAGACGGTTGTTAATCTGGAGAAAAAGAAGAGCCCATAATTGACAAGGGTGTTAAATTAGAGACCTGTAACAGTCAACCAATTAACTATATCCCTTCTTAAAAACCAGTGTTAAGTCTAAGTCTATGCATAGGCAACTATGTTACTTGCCATGGTTACATTCATTCTCTTACCAATAGACAAACAGGTTACTTTTCATTTTTCAAATTACATAAAACAACAATAATAAAAGTATATGAAAACAAAAAGTTTTTTGTACACTGTAGGCATAATAATATACTGACAAATATACGTACTGACTTAATATGCAAACACAAATGAGGATTCTTAAATACCTAACTAATACTCCCATACCCATGTGAACAAGTCAGGTATAATATTAAGTGTACTCTATGGTATAATTATTCTAATGTCTAGCATATAGTTTATATCGGTATATTTATTCCTATACTCATATGCGCATATTATTAGAGATATATACCTGTAAGAATAATGTACAACACTTGTACTAAAGGTAATGTTTTATCATATACCCCATGGGAACACATCAGCATATACTGTATGTAATGTACTAAGGCATTATTTTCCCATACTCATATGATCACATCAGGCACTAATTTCCATACCTGTGTGATCACATTAGTATAATTTTAGGCCTGGTTGCTAAAAAGTCGCTTGAGTATCTTCACTACAATCGCTCTCCACGATAAAAAGCTCCCTGATTCGACCAAACAATCAGCGTAACAACTTTAATAGGTTTACGAGGATCCATCATTACTACAGACTCAGTATTAAGTCAAAACCAATTTGCGCATTATCACACACACTAAAATTCTTGCCAATTGTTGTTTCTACTACAATATTCGACACACATTATTAGGGGACAGCATTATTCAACCTTTCACAATGGTTAGGGGGGGGGAGGTGGGTGATAGTTTGGAGATGCTGCACCAGCAATCGTAAGCCTATCATTTCATAGTCTGGGGGAAAAAAATCTATAATTCTTAGAAACTTTGTGAATATCAACCAATCCTGTATGGTCATTATGGTGACTTTATGGTGTTCAAGCTGTCACCATTACTCACTTGGTGTCCTCATACGCTGTCAACCATCAATTATGGTTAAGTTTCGCTGAGCCCGTACAATATAGCCCTTACAGCGGACAATGGCTCGGTTCTTCACAACTGAGGTGTAGCGTACAACCCACGAGGGGTACTATGGTGGGCTTGTAGCATCAAGACTACTGAAATGGTCTGCAACAATTCCCTGGAAAACTTCTGATGGTAGGACATCTACATGAATTAATATAGAAAACAAAGTCAATAATTGATAAACAATTTATAATCTATCATACTTTTTGTTTTGTTTATTAGATTTACATGGCAAAATGTATTTAAACAAAACATTATTGCTTATGTTTTAAATATATTTATATATCATTTTATTATAATTGTTATTGGTTATATTTTTAATGTGGTTTATTATTGATGTGACATTTTAATATGCTCTTTGTAAAGTTCTTTTCAATTAATTTTTGAATATTTTTAATTCAAAACTGGCTGAGTGACTTTCTGCTACAGTGATTAAGTTCACTTTTTATTTGTGTTTCCTGCCAACTCGCTTGGTTGTTTTTTTGTACTGTTTGTGTTATTTTGTCAATAAACAGAATAAGAAGAAAAACAACTAACATTAATAATTATTATAAATCAGATATTATTCTCCTGAAGACGATTGAAGCAACGTCGAGATTTCTCAACAAACACAGTTCTATTCAGAACTATGTACTTGGTGTACCGTAAGCATTAAAATATACTTCCCCATGCAAACCTTTAAAACAATATTATAAATCAAATGTGGTGTTTTTCATTTCCACATATTTCCCTATTCCCAAGTCTTAATTTCAGTGATTATAATAAACATAATAATGTTTAAATTAAACTTACTTCTTGGGTCTGCATGTGTGAGGAGTTGTACATTATTGTGTTTGGCAAACTCTTTCATTTCTGGTGGAATTACACAGCATGTTGCTAAATTCAACTGATTGATTATAGGCTTAACCTGAATGAGGGAATAGTAATAATACAATGACATATAAATACAAGTTGTCATTTAACAAGTTGTTATGAATACTAAGGCCAAAACAAATTATTACTACTGATGCCCAAGCAGTGGAAGTGGTTTGGTGCAGCGGGAATGGTTTGGGGTTTCAATCCCCTACTACTGTACATGTGAATTTTGCTTGTGTCCTTGAGCAAGGCATTGCTTCTCTCTACCCAGGAGTATAAATGGGTACCTGGTAGGATTGCTTGCTCCTGTGCTGATTACCAGCAGCAACAGTTAAAGCATGTGGACCCAATGACCAGGGAAAACAACTGCGCTTCATAACCTCAAGGAAGAGGCGCATTATAAATGCCTACACCAGTACCAGTACCATATGACAAATTTGGAATCATAGAATCAATGGATTGAAGTTTCATATCTAATCATCACTATCCTCAAGGATTTTTGCTGTAATTAGTAAAATACTGACTAAAATTCATATTGAAGGTATCAAAATATATATAAAAAAAAGCCTGAAAATTCTTTTTATATATCACAATATGATTCTGGACACAAATAAAAAAAAACCCCAAAATTTCAGGATTTTGAGTCAGTCTGACTCTGACAAACACTTTGTTTTTTTTTCTAATGTAAAGACAGGTAGGGACTAGGAATTGTGAAATAGTAAATTTATTGGCAGTGGTACACATAACAACTCGATGTCGAGGCATGTCATAAGCCTAACTCCTTACCTTCTAGCCCCTCATGTTAAAATACCTTTTCCTAATAACAGAACTGTCCAGATTGAATGCTTATACGGTTAGTTGGTAAATCAGACACATAGACTAGAAATGTTCATTACAGAAAACAGCAAAAGTTACAGCAACCACCATATTAGCACCAATTGTCAGAAGAACTGATAGCAAGAATTGCCTCAGTCACCCTTACCCATGCTTGCTTACCTTGGCCCAATCAAATAGCTCTACAAACACCGGCAGATCCATGTCACAAACCCCAAGGCTGCCAATGGTCCCCTGGGACACATACCCTTCCAGAATCTCCCAAAAGGGTTTGATGTGTTCCACTGTCAATGTCTCATTGTCGGGTTCATCCGGCATCGTCAGCAGTACTGTGTCAATCATGGTGACTGACAGTTGTTTGAGGGCTGCCAAAAGCGAAAAAAAAAAATATTCAATTCAATTTTATTGCACGCTTCAATCAAGTGTCAATATCCACTTAAAATTACAATTCACATAATCATAGGTAAGTGTACTTGCTGGTGGATATAAATGAAATAAAAAAATTTTTCCATAATTATATTTTATTAATTTTTCTATATGTTAGTTTGGTCATGGAGGAAATATATTAATATATTTCCTCCATGGTTTGGTTTAGTATTGCACTGTATGCAGGATAGTAATTTTATTTCTCATAGAAAATTTAAACAAATCTGAATCTGCCAGTTATATTTTTCAAATTTTAAACTGAAAACTGATAAACTTTAAAAAAGCTGAACATCATACAGAAGTGACTGCTGAGTATTATTTTACAAAACGTGTGTACCACTAGTACTGTATACAAATGCAGACGTAAAGAGAGGTCAAATTGGAGCAGAGAAGAGTGAACAAATAAACTGCACTGCAGAAACTCTTGCCATGCAGCACACCACCTACATAGCCAAGTTAAAAAAAAAGTAGTTTCTCATCCTAATATTTTGAAAAATGGAGAATGTGGGCACTTTTTTTTTTTTTTTTACTCCGAGATGGCAAGTCCAAGATGGTTGATGGGAAACTACTACTATTTTCTCACTTTTACCAAGCAGACACATTGAAAGAAAATAAAAGAAGCATTAGACATGATTCATACCAAATGTATCCCCAACATGAACGAACGAGAGAGGAAATTTACTGATGTGAGTTAGCCAGATTTTCGTAAAATAAAGGAAATAAAAAAAACAATTGGTGAGGCAGAGAAAATGGATGCAGGAGGGGACGAGAAACTTTTTTTTTTATTTGGCCTTACAGAGACTGCCACACTGCATTAGACTTTACACTCACACCAAATGATGGTCATTCTTTATTCATTTATTATTACTATTTTCACTAATTAGTATTAATATTATTATTGCTGATTGTTTATTATTAAATAGATTTCAATTCAATTCATTTATTTTGTCCAATAATTACATTACTATGGTAAAGAATAAAATAAATAAAAAAACAATATAATTTAAAAACAATATAATAATAATGCATCCCTCTCCATGGGTGCCTAATACATAGTCCTTCGAGGCTGGGAATCATATAACAACACTCACATTTTTCAATTGCTTCAGTGAAGACCTGCAAGTCCAAGTTAAAGACAAATGCCTTCACTGTAATCTTTTGTTCTTCTCTCGTTTCATGTACTGGAATTGTTTGTGGATGACAACATTCTACTAACCGAAGGTCACGCAGCCTGTCAAGGTCTGCTTCCCTTTGGCAAGCATTTAAAGTTGTGTCAAGACTCACTCGAATCTGTATTATAAAAGTCAATTTTGGAATGATAAATTATTTTTAAAAATAAATATAAAGAAATTATAAAACAAAATTTAAACAAATAAAATACAGTTACATAATTTAGGCCTAATGCTTTTATCCAGGCCTAGGATAGGCCTATACTAGGCCTATATACTATATATATACAAGAACATTTCAATTTCAATACAACATAATAATAATTGTTAAATAATAAAGCACATTTACAGCTCTCATTGCTCAGAATAGGAAGGAATATGAAACATGTTTAATAATTTAAAAAATGCTTAAAATCGTATCAAGCATAATTTTTTTTTTTGTTATTTTATTATGAAAAAAAAGCTCCAACATTATTTAAACCTGCAGCCTTGCATTCTACCAAGGCTAAAATGTCTTCAAAGCCGGTGCTACTTCACGTATTCTATAAAAAGTAGGCTAAGCCCTATGCCAAAATAGGCCTAGGCCTAGGCTAGCTGGCCAGGCCTAGAGATGTAGGAGGGCTTTAGTTAGGCCTAGGCATAGGCCAAGAGTTTTTAATCAATTCATAGATATTATATTAGCCTAGGCCAGGGCCTAGGGCCTAATCAGTCATTTCGCATGTTCGTAACACATACGCAATGACCTAGGCCCATGGTTGGAGTAGGATGCAATCCTACTGTGATAGGCCTAGCTCCATTATTTGGCTGAGCTATACAATGTTTACTCCCAGATAAGAAACCGTCGTATAACGTCAAGTGAGGTGGGCCGGTCAGGATCGACAGGACATGGTCTTCCTTGACCTGGGCACAGCTGCATATAGGCCTAGCTAGGCCTAGACTAAAAGTAAAACCCGTTTCCTTACCTCATCTGTTGACGAAGATGGTACTTTCCTTTTCATATTTGCCCAATTAATTATATTTCCAGTATCAATAGTCATAATTTCGGCCATAGGTATGCGTTCCTCGGAAACCGACATGTTTAATTCTGTCTTGTTATATTTGGAATTTGCAGACGGACGGTGACACTTCGCTGTATTGCAGCTGTATTGTATTGACTGGTGGTAAATTTGCTGAATCACCACCAACATATATAATGCATACAGAGCGTTGGGGAACCGTAAAATTTGTAAACAAAGCTCACTAAATAGTCGAGGTTAACATTCAAATGAACACGAAGCTGATAAGCAAATTTGCTGAATCATTACTCTATTAATATTACCATGCTTGAAAAACATAATTGTATAAAAAAAATAAAAAAAATAAAAAATAAAAACTCGCCTATGTAGATAGCCTCTATCCATGCCCCTAGGCTTTTCTATATATGAAATATTTTATTTGTATGTATGTTGTTGCCAAATAATATTCAATTGATTTGAAAAATATTGAATTGGAAACGGATTTTATATACAACTTAATTCTCCATTAAACTTAAATATCGTTTTGTAGTTTTGTGTGTGCAAACATCAACAATGATGATAAATGAATAATAGCCTAATAATAGAATAGGCCTAATAATGCATTATAATAGGTATAATAAATAATAATAATAATAATAATAATAATAATAATAGTAATAATAATAGGCCTAATAATGATAATAATAATAGGCATAATAATAATAATAATAATAATAATAATAATAATAATAATAGACCAAATAATAATAATAATAATAATATTATTATTATTATATATTATTATTATTATTATTATTATTGTTATTATTAATATTATTATTATTATTATTATTATTATTATTATTATTATTATTATCATTATTATTATTATTACTATTATTACTATTATTATTGCAAGATTGTATGGAGTATTTTCACTTTTATTAGTCTCCCAATTGACGAAAATTAGCTTTGGATATACAAGAGGATGTGCTAGCCATATTTCAAACAACGACGGATGTTTGCGGGGGGTGGGGGTGGCGGAGGAATTGACTATTGCTGATGTTATAGAGGAAAAAATAGGTGACTTAAAGATGAAATGACAACTGCATTTCATAATTACAATATGTAATTATTCAAAAGAGTTATTAGTAAGAACTTGTTAAAAAGAAATTGTTTCTGTGGGGCGGGGGATTTGCATCTTAGCTGAGACTATATGTAGTCAAAAGGATGACGATCGCCTTTTGCAAGAGGATGAACTTCAAATTTTCACTAAGACACAGTATATATCTGTTTCTGTAACACTGATAATGGATGATGATTACGATTGACGTCTATTGAATGTGTATTTTAATTAATTTCTCCTGTTTACTTGTTTTTACCAATCACTTTATGCTATGTTTTAATTGATTTCAATACATGAATTTGATGATGATGCATAGATGATGATGATGACGAGACGACGGTGATGATAATGGTATGTGTTAAATATATCCCTCCACTGATATTTTTAATTATTAACTTGTTTATATTGTGACGGTACTCGTGATTTTCCACGGCGCCCTTTTCACAAAATGTTATGAGTGTATTAATTACTAGCCCAGCTCAGGGGGTTTGGTAGGCAGTGGTGACAATATGATTTGTGTGAAGGAAATTGTGGGTGTGTGAAACAATGAAGATGATGGTTACATAATAACAATATATAATATTAATAATAATAATAATATTAATAATAATAATAACAAAAACAATGAAGATAGTAATAAACATGATGATCAAGAGGATGATGATGATGATGATGATGTAATTATAAATAATAATGACAATGCAGATGATGATGATAATAACAATATCAATAGTAATAGGCCTATTGTAATAACAACAGATAATATGCAATAATAATAATAATAATAATAATAATAATAATAATAATAATAATAATTGTCGACTTATATAGAAATACCTCTATGCGCTTTACAGCAAGGAGTGGGATAAATTATTAAAAGTTTTACCAGCAATGAAAAACACATTCTCTTTTCAATATATTTGAATCATATTTTATTTTATCAAACTCATGAATGTCTACAACAAATGTTTATTCAGTAAACTAAAAACAATGAATACAAAATAGACTAAAATATACAGCTTGATAAACTTTTAGGAATTTATTGAACAGCAGCGTTATTCGTTACTTTATTCCTATTTTGAGAACACAAATTTAAAGACATATTCATAACACAAACTACCTTAGGCCTACCCCTAACATTTTTGCGTTAAAATAGGCCTAACCTTACAATTTAGTGCTTTACACGTTATTTTTTTAGAATATACAGACGTATTTATACCGTAAGTTCCAACTAAATAAAATTGATAACGTTGCTGCAACGTTGTGTTAACGTCAATTTCTGACAACCTAACAACAACGTTCACAGCCATTCGCGAATGTTATAATAATACGTTTTATTTTGCTGGGTAATCAAACTAAGAAGAAGAATTTACTAATAGCAACTTTACACCGATCAGTTTAATTTGCGTTTAAGCACCGATGAAACAATGTCCTCTCTCTTGCATTTGTTTTTTTTGTTTTGTTTTGGATTTTTTTCCCCTTACTCTTGTCAACAACGTCTATATTATATTTTTTACCTAAAAACATCATTAAATTTTGTTTTCAATGACGTTCGTGTTTGCAATAAACTTTTCAATTCATTGCATAGTCCAACAAATGTTGTCAATGAAATTCAAAGACTGTAATTATTTTTTAACCATAAATCTTCCGTAACGGAATATTAACTTGCTAAACTTTTCAGCATTTTATATAAAGATAATTATAGTTTTGCCGAATTTAATAGTTTCCTATGTGAATAATTTATTTGTTCAATGAAAGGCAACACAATTGATTATTTCGAGTAGGCTTACCTCTCTTCACGGTGACAATTGGAAACGAATACTTTCTGAGATTAATATTTTAATTACCGTATTTATTCAAATAAACGCCCCCTCCCTCTCGAATAAGCTCCCCATTTGGAATGAACGTTTCCATTGAATAAACGACCCCCTCCATAATTGACTGTAAACAAAAATATAATGGACGCAATATCATTCTCAACACATACTATTAATGTTCTAATCCTGTAGAATTACATTTTTTCTAACCTAGTTTGTATCAATAGGTCTTTATGATCACACATTTAGACGGTACAATACTGTCCACATTTACAGTGAAATTAAGAGGCTAACAATATTACGTTATCCGAATTTATTTTATTTTTTATTTTAAATCCTTTTTAGTTGTTGTTAAGTGCATAGAAGCAGTTTCTTGCAATATGCGCTATATAAATAGTAATTTATTAATATTATTATTATTATTATTATTATTATTATTATTTTGTGATAAAAACGTTACTTTGTAGAACCATATGTACGTATTGTACTTATAACCTAATTTCTCAATGTCACAACGTTTGAACGTTCTTTGTGTTTACTAGTACCTCCCTCGAATAAACGCTCCCACCCCCATTCCTAACAATAAACGCCCGGGGTGTTTATTCGAAGAAATACCGTACGGTAATTATTTTAAAAGCATTGCTGTTGAACTAAACCTTACTTTTTAGAATAAGAATTATACAATATGCCTATATAATATAATTATAAAACATGATTACCAAGACAAATCCGTAATCCGTTTCTGTTCGTGTCTTGGAAGCGTATCCTATAGCAACGCAAAGAGATGTTCACACCAATAAATATCAATGCATTTAAAGGGATCCCAATTATCACGGTGACGTCATCATTACTCCATAGAGAATCCAAGAAGTAATCGGCCTATACGGTATAAACATGTACGTTTAATTAAAAAAAAAATAGGCCTATCAAATGTTGTTACTGTAAACTGTATGATTTTTACAAATGCATATTCATGCATTTGTCAAAGTTATAAAATAATTTAAAGTAGACATCCCGTATACTGTTGCCCCTTTTCAATTTTATAATAATATTAATAATTACCAACATATTGTGACTTATAAGGCGCATACTGTCATGACTTTTATGCGTATTACAGTAAAATTCAATAAAAAATAATAATATGGCTAAACAATTTCCATTTCTAAAACTAAATATGGTCGGCCATTGATTCCGATATTTTTCATAATTCACATAGTTGCAGCCATATTCGCCCAATAAACAGCCGAATATATTTATTTCAAAAATTGTCTTGAGATGCTGGAAATAATGCTGTTTATTTATACAGTATATATCTTCTTCAAATTTCATTCATAGTTTTCTTGATCCAGCAGTTGTTTTAACAGTATGATACAGAACTAAGAGGAGGTACGGTAGTAAACACTGGTTCTTCTTGAGGCTCGAAAATTGGCGGCTACCAACTGGAAATTGAAGCTGCCAAATGATGGAATGTTCTCATCAGTTGTAACGACGATGCTTTGGTGGAGGCCTACAGTCACCTGGACAATAATAATAATAATAATAATAATAATAATAATAATAATAATAATAAATATTAATAATGATAATAATAATAATAATAATAATAATAATAATAATAATAATAATAATAATAATAATAATAAAGATATATATGATACAATATGAATTTGTAATATGAACAGATAAACTCTAACCAGTTTTAACGTAATACTTGAAAAAATCAACATTTGGATTATTTTACACCAGGGCCACAGTCAGAAAGAACTGCACTCACACGTACCCTCCCCCTTCCCAGCCACTCCTACATGTTAAGAATTAAAAACACAATTCGTTTAGGAGAAAAAGTATTTTTAACATATTGTTAGATTCTAAATTCAATTAAATAAGCCTGTGAAACCCATTAATTGTTAAATAATCAGGGGCTTTTCGCCCCCTGGAAAACCCCGACAAATTTCGAGTGACGAGGACGCCCGATCCGCCGCACGCCCAATCTCTCGTTTGGGACATCCTTCCGCATTGGTGAAGACTTTGATTATACAGTATTTTGATAGATTAATGCCAATAGCTAGAATAAACTACCTTGTCTGGTTTCCTTGGCTTTATTTCTTTCATGTCGTTGTTTGATATTAAATGTTGTGTTCCTGATTATCATTGTATTGTAAATGTTTATCGACGAAACAAAAAATATGATACGATAGAATATATAAACGGTAAATGGTAATGACAAGGAAATCGGCAAGAGTTAAGACAGTTTCCGCCATCTGAATTCTATATTGTGTCTCTTGATTATGCAGACAATTTAAACATCTAGGCCATTATGGTTTTGTTCAATTTAAATCTCATTCGAAGCAATTCCTTTCAATGTCTTGTAATTTTAAATAAAGCTTTATCGTTTGTCCCTAATTAAATCTGATAAATGTGATACATATTTTAAATTCAATTTAGCAACCATACCATTGAATACCAGACCGACATATCCTTATGCCTTTGTGGCAATTTCGAATCCCATTAGTAGTAACTCCTTTCAATTTCTTGTAATTTGAAATAAACTCTATCATTAATTAAACTTGGTAAATATGATACATATATTATTTTAATTCAATATAGCAACCATAGCGGTATATAACTACGAGACTGAACATATCCTTGCGACTATGTGGCAACTTCGAATCCCATTAGAACAATTCCTTTCAGTTTCTTAATAGATTAAACAAATTAAATTAAAGAATAATATGAATATATTGATTAATAATTAAATTTATAAATTTTAACCATTCTTAAAAATTAAATTTGGAATTAGGGGCATATCACTATATTTCATCTATTATTAGGTAATATCCTCGATCTCACAACATTGTTTCCCTTTGTCACAATGTTAGGGTATTTCCTTCTACTTTACACTACTGTTAAATACACATCGTAAACTAATGAATATGCATAGTTATGACTCACGGTAAACGATCTGTGAATGGTAGTAAGTTACATGAATATTAATGACGTTAAGGCAAAGTGTCAGTGTATGATTCGTGTACTTAAGTAAAGTGTAAAAGTATGCAAATATGTTATCAAAAGGGTTAGTAATGAGGTATCCAGCCAGGGGTTGAACATAAATCTTAAAGGAAATATATGGACTGAGGAGTGTTAGGTAAAAGGACATATCAGTCAAGGCACATTTTAAGATAAAAGTACAAGACTTAAATTTAAAGCTTAAAGTAATTATATGTGAGTGATAGCCGAATTAAGAGAACATCACCGTGATTTTGGAATCAAGAAATAAAGTAAAGAATTGCCCATGGTCCGTGTAGTCCGCCAAGTAGCCTATACTCTGAATTATGTACTGCCAAATATACTAAAGTGATACTGCAGGCTGAGGGAAAAAGCCCTAGCAGTTTGAAATACTTGGTAGACGAATTTTACTGCTATTGCATTGTTAAAGTGGTAAATGATTCGAAAGGTAGCGCATCAGTTAACTATTTGATTGATAAACTTTTATTTTATTAAAACCATCTATTTTATACATTATATACATTGTCTGTGTCTCATTTGCAGTCATGTCGTGACATTCTTATAACTTTAATTTGAATAACGGTGACTAAGATTGCATTAATGTTGTCGCTAACGTTACAAGTAAGAATTGTGTTATGGTAAAATTCGATGTCATATATATTACTTACAAAATGCTAATTTTTCTTCTAGAATAGATATCTGCTCACTCAACGATGGAATGATTTCAATTTGCGATATATGACCATCATTAATAATCTGATTTGGAAAAACACTCGGCTGCTTTGACGGAGAATCTGTTGTCCCATAAAATGTTTTGTTTTTTAGTAGAGTTCTCAATTCTTTAACCTCCTGCAAGCAATAAAAATATTGTCATCTATATTTTTGATATGATATTGATATCACTGTTTATATCTTCATCATCACTATCACAATCGCCGTCATCTTCGTGGTCGTCATCGTGTAGGTGCTGGCCTATGATTTAATAGCACTAATAACAATAATATTATTATTATAAATGAATGACATTATTATTAGTGTTATCATTATCATCATCTTCATCATCCTCATTATTATCATCATTATCACTATCGTCGCCATCTTCGTCGTCATCGTCAGGTGCACTATAATTGAATTAATAATTATAACAATATAACAATAATAATAATAATAATAGTAATAATAATAATAATAATAATAATAATAGCTATTATTATTATCATTAATATTGAATTATTACTATTGAATGATATTATTATCATCACCATCATCTCCATCATCATCATTATTATTATCGTCCTCGTCATCCTCATCATCGCCATTATTATTATTATTATTATTATTATTATTATTATTATTATTATTATTCTTATTATTATAATTAGTATTATATTATTATTATTATAATTATTATTATTCTTACTACTACTACTACTACTACTACTACTATCATAATAATCATTACCATCTTTATTTCACTGCATTAATACCTTTATGGTTACCGTATTATAAAATACTCCTTATCTTGTTCTTAGAATTAAAATTTTACTAGCCATATGCTTGTATGGAACATTATTATGGTTAATATAAATAAATGTCCATTGCCAAGGAACATAGACGTCTGTAATACAGATAAGTATGTAGAAATGTGTAGACATTTTACCGTTTCAAGTAGTTCAACGCGGACCATTAGAAACTCGAATTCTGGATGACACATTAGACAAACTAGAAGTGAAAAAAAAAACACGAACAGTATCAAGATGTTTAATATTTTATTTCAAATTTGTAATGAAAAAAATATAAATAAAATTTCATTTTAAAAATTCATTTGCTAATTTACACATAAATATACATCGGATTGTATTACATATACACACACTTATATAATATATATATACATATAATAGGCATTTATATATATATATATATATATATATATATATTATGTTGTTTATATCCTATAAAATGATTGAACTTGAAATATAAAATAAATCAAGAATTGACGTATTTCTTTCAAAATCCTTCACTTCTTACTTTCGCAATTTTTTCCATCTTGAGAGAGTTTGAATCCTTGGTTGCAACCACACGTATAACTTCCATTAGTATTTTT